TATATATATATAAAGGAAGGCTTATACCAAAGGACAGGGTGTGGGTTTCATGAAATCCAAAACTATTGGAACCACTAGTAATTTGGGGATTCCCATGCCAACAGAACAAGAGGCAAAGAAAGGAAGTAATGTATAGAATGTAGTACACAACTATGAAGAATAAATATTTTGATGCTGAGGAGAAGTATACAATATATAAAAGGCAAAAAGCTACACCTTAATTCACAGGAATTGCTAGGTATACATCTGTGTTGCTCAATGCTCAGTGTCAACCTGAACAAGTAGTACCAATAAGTAAGCTTGAAGAAAGGTCCAAGTGTAGAGATTAGATATTTTGGATGAGAACCTGGGTTTGCTTCCTGGAAAACAACAAAAAGCATTGGAAAGTAGGAGGAGTCTAGACAACAGGGTAGAGGAAGGCAATATAAATAATGACCTTAGAACCAGCTATAGGGGTAGAGAGGATAACTGGTCATACTAAGCATTCTGTTGCCTCTTTTTTTTTCTTTTTACTTTTGTCTCTCCATGTCTTTGAAAAATTCCTAACCTGGAAGATATGGGTAAATCTGAGAGGTTAAGGAGTGAATTGTAGCTGATGCCTTTAATGTCACCTATACCCTCTTGACTTTTACTAGTCACCAAAAATACTTGCAGAGCCATCCATAAAACACAGCTTCAAACCTCTGTCTAAGAAATCACTCTGGCTGAGAGACTCTGCTGCCCACCAAAATATGTTATGCAGACATATGACAGGCTGGAAGGACAACGTGCAGAGCTCTCTTATTAGGGACAAAGACCCTCGCTTTTTCACATGGAGTAAGACAGTTCTGAGGCATGACTATCACTCTGAGGACATCAGTCTGTTTGAGAGCTAACTGCTGTCAGTAACCGGTTGATCATTAACATCCTCTATTGGCTTCATTCCCTTCCCTCTGGAGTCACTTCCCAAATAAACTAGCAGTTAAATCCAACTCATGGTCTGCTTCTAACTGATCCAATTTAAGACAAGATACAGTGTTTATTATCCATACACACTTGATATGAAAGCACAAACTCTTAAACACTATGCTATCCTGAAATCTCTCTCAGGATATAGTCTGGAATAATTGCCTTTTGATCATTTCGTACTAACTGCTTAAAAGCAAGATTATCAGGAAGATGGGTTTTAAACACAAAAGAGTATGACAGTCATTTCAGTATTTTGAATCTTGGTTAAGATTTCCAAGAATAAGGAAGATTCCCTTTCCAAATGTAATAATGGTCTCCAGCCATACCACCCTGAACGTGCCCAATCTTGTCCAAATGTAGTAATAGCATACAACTCAAGTCACAGACTGGCTGTAATGATTTCCTATTTTCTTCTTTTCGTATATATGTCTGCATATTGCTTTGGCTGTAAATACATTTCAGTATTTCTTAGTACAGCAGGAACATTTGACTAGCTTAAAAAAATTCTGATCATGGAAACATAAAATTAAAGTGGAAAAATGGCTTGATTCTAAGAATTTTTGACATTTAATTCTTTATTTACAATACACCCATTAACCTTTTAGTATGTACGCTTTCTTATATACTAAGTGGGATTCATAACCCTTATGATATAAGGGTAATCAGATGACTTAATGTTAATTATCTATAACCTTGCACACAATATTATTTTGAAGATCCTCCTACATTTTTTCCACTGCTGAATACACTTATCTTGCAGTATTCAAGTATGCAACCTCTCATAAATTTCAGCTATTATACGAACTTTTAAATAGGTCACAATCAGATACATGCTAAGGAATATTTTAACTAAAATGACTTAATCCTAGGTGACCTGGAGTGACATGTCCATAAAGCTAAACTTCCTGGTGATCATAAATATCGCTGTATTCATAAGAAGCTCAGGATACTCTTGGCATTCCAGGACTCTCCATCACAGTGCTAGTATTAGCATTTAGTATTCTTCGGATGTAATCTCTAAGGCTGATGCCACAGAGCACTCAGTAGTTCTGTGGTAGCATGGATTTAAACTGTACATAGGAGGAGTGATGGGTGGGCCGGCATTCACCACAGCACTGCATGAAACAAGCTGGTTTCTCCTATGTATGTCTAACCTTAGCTGTATTTTCCTCTCCTCTCTCATATACAGTAGCTGTTCTTACATGAGAAAAACTTAGTATTAATTTGCCTTTCTCAAATGATCAATGATGCTGAACATTTTTTCATACATTTACCATTTGTATTTTTTCTTCTGAGAAGTGTATATTCATCTCCGATGCCCATTTTTGGACTGGGTCTTTGAATTTGGGGTCCTGATTTTTTAAATTCTTTATATGTTGTAAATAGAAGTCCTTTGTCTGAGGGACAATTAACAAAACTTTTTTCTCAATTAGTGAGCTTTCTTTTCACTCTGTTGATTTCTTTGATGTGCAGATACTTTTTAATAAGATGAGATCTCAGTTGTTGATTGTTTGAAGTTTTTCCCATGTAGTTTGGTTTTTGTTCATGAACTCTCTGCCTACCCTTATGTCTTCAAGATTTCTCCCTATTTTCTCTTCTAGTAGATCTCACCCCAGAAAGAATGGCTATCATCCAGAAATCAACTGATAACAAATGCTGGTGGGGGTTGTAGTAGTAGTAGGAAAAAAGATCCCTTCTCCACTGTTGGTGGGAGTATAGACTGGTACAACCACTGTGGAAGTTAGCATGGAAGTTCCTCAAAAAACTAGGATTAGAGGTCCCATTCGACCCAGCTATTTCCCTTCTGGGTATTTGCCCAGAAGAAATGAAAACATCATACCAGTGCAATACATGTGCACCCATGTTTATAGCAGCACAATTTGTAATAGCTAAATCTTGGGAACAACCCAAATGTCCATCAATCAAGGAATGGATAAAAAAGATGTGGTATTTTTATATAATGGAGTACTACTCAGCTATAAAGAAAGATAAACTTGAGGCATTTATAGGTAAAAGGATGCGACTAGAGACCATACTCATAAGTGAAATAATTCTGACTCACATGTGTGAACATCGTACTGTCTCCCTAGTGTAAGAAACTGAAAAAGTAAATAAGATCCAAAAGGTACAATAGATATACTGAAAGGGAAAGAAACTGTTCAAAAGAAAGAACAACTGGGGTGGGGGAAAGGAGAAAAAAAGAAAGGGAAAAAAAGATATGTATATATACACAAGATAGCTAAGATAATTATACTACTAATTTCTATTAGTTCATTAAAAGGAACAGTTAGTGCTTATACTGTTTGATCAATTTTATGTGCCTATATCTGGTAATCTGAGCAACTGCTTTGAAGATAAAAATATTTACTATAATAACCATTGCTAATTTCTATCATCTTGTTTTGAAATTCTGTATCATTTTATTGTTTTTTTTCTCTCTTTAAAATTAAAAAACTTGGTGTGTTTATATATTTAATATATTTTTGAGAAATAGGCCTTGTGAGAGAAATAAAGCATTTCTAGTACTGGTAATAAAATTGAAGAAGTTAAAGAAATTTTTAATCTTAGCCAGAAAATAGAGATTTTTAAAAAATAAATTAAATGCATGGAGTTGACCAAAGAGGTATAAGGAAATCAGAAAAATCATTTCATGGAATTTATCAACAAGCTACTCATCAAGTCAAAATTTTATTTTTATATTTTATAAAATGGCCAATTTCATGGTCAGAAAAGAGTTTTCAATTTTCCTTTATTGGCTTTTGTATATTTATCTGATTATTTTAGTGTCCTTTTATAATGATTTATTTTTTTGTGCTGCATCAACACCTCAGAAATAATATTTAAAAAGAGGTAACTGACATGCTTCTGTTGTTCTTAACTTTAGCTGGATTATTTCTAGGGTTTCCCAAAGTATCTCTGAATGAGAGGTAATACCTCTTGAAGAATTTCATGACAAGTATTTAGTAGTCTTTTATACTCTGTTATCTTAGAGTCTCAGAGGATATTTTCTTATTAACTCTACTGAGCAGCCCTGTAATTTAACCTGTTATGGTTTAATGTTGTTAACACTGAGCTCAAAAACCCCAAGAAATTAGAAGAAAGGAAAGTTCCCTCCAGTCTTATGAAGCCAAATCACCTCAATACCACATTAAAGGAGAAGTAACGGTATTCACATCAGTTTTCGACCTCAGCCTCAAGCAACTTGGCAGAGAGGTCTTCATTTACCCTGAGAGCAGCAGTGGGAAGGAAGCCACTGCCATGGGCAGTGGCAACTATAGGAGAGAAATCCAGACCTCTAACTACTGAGAAGTCACAACTGAAAGCTTCCCAAAGTCAGTGAGTGCTATATGAGGACAGTGACCAATTAACTGGTGCCACTAGGTTTTGATGATGTCATGAGACAAACTATACCTGTGCTTCCTTTCACAGATGCCTGGACCAGTTTAGCCTGAGAATCATTAGTAACTTGTTTTCTTCATGAAATCATGATTTTTTTTTGTGATTGACTACTGTACAATTGCACTTGTGATCTATGACCTTCTACATTATACCTTCTTGCTCAGCAAAACATAATAAACTATGAAGTTAAATTTATAGAATGCATTTGTACTGATAAAAGA